GCAAATCAACTTAAACGCAAAGTTACCACGCCAATGCAGCACCACAACTTAAAACGCTCTGCATACTCTTTAAGCGATGCTTCACTAAGGAAAGCTATACATACAAGCGCACGGCCTATTGTCAAGCTATATGACTTTTCGAAATTAAAAACAAGATCGGCAGATAAATCAGCAAAGCCGACTAAGCCAGCAACAACAACTCGACTGAACAACTCTGAGGAATGTATGGACATCAGTGATGAATGCCTGGACCTTGATAGTCTGATGGTAGACAGCAACGACTCAAATGATTCCGGCACCTTTCCCACCATCATGCCTCTCAGCACCGATACACAGCAGAATCAGCAGCAACAACAGCAACAGCAACAACAACAGCCGCAGCCAACTCGGAGTGCCAAAATTCCATCTCTCTTCCTGCCCAACGTCCACGAGATTCAACCTTTGCTGGATAGACTCAATGGGACACCAGGCGTTAGTAAATTCACGACAAAGTGCACGCAGAACGACGGCATTCGAGTTCAGTGCAGCGATATTGCAACTTATAATGCCATACTGGCGACTCTTAACGCTGAGAATACGCACATGCACACCCATCAGCCTCGAAGGGAACGTGGATATAGAGTAATTATACGGAATCTACATCGCACCACTCCCTGTGACTGGCTACGTGCCCAACTAGCACAACTAGGGTATGCGACCAGGTACATCAACGTCTTGAAACATCGCTTCACCGGCAAGACTATGAATATTTTTGAAGTTGAGCTGAAGCCAAGAGCTGACGGCGAGCACGAGAAAATATGCAATCTAAAGGAGCTGGGTAACCAGCACATATCTGTCGAACGCCAACTAAGAAGAACAGACCCAGTGCAGTGCCACCGCTGCCAGGAGTTCGGCCACAGTAAGAATTACTGCCGTAGGCCGTTTGTTTGCTTAAAATGCGCAGGAGGCCACATGACAACTGAGTGTACCAAAGACAGGAACACAGAAGCCAAATGTGCCAACTGCCACGGAAAGCACATAGCCAGCTACAAGGGGTGCCCGGCATTTAAAAACGCGCAGAGCAAGCTTCTAGCAAATCGAGTTCGAGCCACAAGTGGGCGCCAGAAACATCAACAGCAGACCGGACCTGCAGCCAACAAGCAGCCAAACATAGGCAGCTCCTCACCTCCGCAGTGGCAGCAACAACAACAGCACACCGGCATGCAACAGCAACATCATGAACGCCAGACCAGTGAACGCCAACAAGGGGAACAAATGCAGCACCAGCATAGTGAACGCCAGCAACATAAGCAGCAGCTGCAACACCAGCACCAATACAAACAAAATAACAACAATCTTACTCTCACTTACAGTCAAGTTGCACGCAGCAAGGGCCCTTCTGCAGAAGGGCGCAACCCGGCTATGAGGCACCTGCAGAAAGTCCAGCAGCAGCTTCGACTGGAGCAGGAGAAACAGCAGCCAAGCAAGCAGAAGAAGCAACAGCAGCAACTCCATCTCCAGCAACTGACTAGCAGTCCTCGCCTACAGATAGATACGCAACAGCAGCATCAGCAAATACAGCCCAGTCATCGGCAGCAACATCAGCCACAGCAGCGACAGCTAAACAACAGCAGGGAATTCAACCCCACCCCAGGTCAACTGACTCCAGTAAAAAACACAGAGAGGAAAATACGCAACCCGGCAATGTTGCATCTACAAAACCTGCAGCAACAGCTTCGACTCAAGCAGTCACAACACCAGCACGGTGTACAACATCTGCAGCAGCAAGAAGAAGGCCCCCGCATGCATGAACAGCACCACAGTGAGCAACAACAGCAACAAGGACAGCGGCAACAGCATGATGGGCCTCTTATGTACGCACTGGAGCGAAACCTGCGCATTGTTAACGATATGGGTGAAAAGATTGACAAATTGCTAAGCATCTTGCATGCACTTGTTCTGCCCAGAATTAACAACCAGCCCATGGCAGTATTAAATCCACAAGTCTCAGCGCAAGAATATAGCGCTGCAGACCCAACTAATGACTGTCAAATGACTGATGATCATAATCCCAACACTGTCAATGACATGTCAAATGATGGATAGACTACAATCAAACTACCTTCCTGACGGCCAGATCAACATGACTGCAAATATATTAAATTATGATGATGCTAATAATATCAGAGCCACAGAGAATAGCCCCACAGTAGTTGCCGGCCAAGGCGGCGATCAATATGGCGACTCCTTTAAAATCGCCTATTGGAACGCCGCCGGTGTCGGCAACAAGCAATTGGAGCTGGAAATATTCATGCAACGAAACAAAATAGACATCATGATGGTAATTGAAACCCGCATCTCTCCAACAAGAACACTTCAGGTGAATGGATACTACACATACACTTCCTCGCATCCGCATAGTCACAGAAGTGGTGGAGTTGCAACATTAATAAAACACGGGATCAAGCATTCAGCTCTTCAGCCAATAGCAGCATCGTTCCTGCAATGTGCTCCAATTACCGTGACCACTGAAGAAAACAACAGAATAAACACGGTCATTATTGCGCCAATATATTGCCCTCCACAACATACCTGGTCTACAAATCACTTTAAGATGCTATTCAAACACTTCGACAGTCTCATCAAAGGTTCCAGTTTCATCCTTTGCGGCGACTGGAACGCAAAGCATCAGTGGTGGGGCAATACTCGTTCCTGTCGCCGTGGTAGAGCCATAATGGAGTGTATTCATAAATACAATCGCTACAATGTGCTCGCAACAGGAGGTGCAACGCACTTTCCTTACGACAAGAAGAAGAAACCGTCCGCCATTGATTTCGCCGTCTACGGTGGACTGAGTAAAGGATTACTCGCTACTCACTCCACAATCGATTTAGATTCCGACCACCTCCCAATCCACGTTGAACTTGGAGTCAGAGGTCCAATAACTAAAACGCAGTCTTCAAGACGTCGACTTCTGCCAAAAAAAGTAAATCTTAGAAAATTCCAAGAAGATTTAAACCAGCGAGTTCTGCTAAATACAGAAATCAAATCAGGCATCGACATCGAAGATGCGATCGATATACTCACCAATAATATCTACAACGCTGCCAAAGCTGCTACACCTTTACCTCGTCGTCCACACCAACAAGAACACCGGCATCGTCATATAAACTCTGGCAACTATGCTCTAAATAGCCAAACAAAAAAACTAATTCGGCTTAAGCACAAATGCAAGCGCGAATTTATGATCCTGAGAACACCGTGCTTGAAAAAACGATACAATAACGTCCAGAATCGTTTAAAGAAGGCTCTGCGCCTAGCCAACTCTGAGCACATAAACAAAATGTTCGATAAAATTGATGCGAACGATCGCTACAAAATGCAGAAGTTGTGGAAAATTACTAAAAACTTTAAACGGCAACCAGAGCCCAACTGGCCGCTCAAAACAAGCCCGGATAGCAACAGCAGCAGCAATAATTGGACAAGGAGCAGCAATGAAAAAGCTGAGGTCTTTGCATCACATCTGGAACAACGATTCAAGCCAATTCTTAGCAACACGGATGAAATGCGAAAAAATATAGCACATGAGTTGGCACAGCAGCAGCAACTAAAATTACAGCAGGAAAGCGGCGCAGCTAGTATTGTTAGTGGTACTAAATCTAACACATTACCATTCCGACCAGTAACCGTAAGCGAGACTATGCTGGTTATAAGCTCTCTAACGTTGAATAAATCACCTGGCCTCGACAACATAGATAACCAGACCATTAAATCGTTGCCACAGAAAGCAATTACTTACCTGGTACTTATTTATAACTGCATCTTCAGACTTGGGCATTTTCCTAAGCAGTGGAAGTGTGCTGCTATCACGATGATCTTGAAGCCTGGCAAAAGCACGGACAGCGTAACATCCTATCGTCCAATAAGCCTTCTGGCGGGTTTCTCGAAGATATTCGAAAGGCTCCTCATGCGCAGACTTTTCGAATGTGATGACTTCGCCAAAGCTGTACCCACCCACCAATTCGGTTTCAGGAAAGAACATGGCACAGAGCAGCAACTTGCTAGAGTAACCCAGTTTATTCTAGACGCGTATGAGAACCGCATGTTCTGCTCTGCAGTATTCATTGACATTAGCGAGGCCTTTGACAGAGTCTGGCATACTGGCCTCCTATGGAAGCTAATCAAGCTGATGCCAATCAAGTTATTCAATGTACTGCAAAGTTATCTCGAAAATCGAACATTCATCGTATGCTGCAATGATGGGACCAAGTCAAAGCTTGGTAAACTTGGTGCCGGAGTACCACAGGGTAGTGTTCTCGGCCCCATCTTGTACACCATATACTCGTCTGATATGCCACTCCCAGCGGATGCACAATACTTTTTCCACAGACACAACGACGACAGTATGCTTCTATCTACTTACGCGGATGACACCATTATAATGAGCAAGGCCGCCACAGCCCAAAGTGCAATCAATATTAACCAAGCGTACCTAAACTGCTTCAATAACTGGGCCAATCGCTGGTGTATAAGCATTAATACCAATAAAACGGCACACGTCATCTATACTGCAAATAGAATTGATCAAATGCATACTTTGCGTCCACCACGTTTGAACGAACAGTCAATTGTTACCAAAACATGCCACCAATATTTGGGATTCCACATGGATCGGAAGCTAAATTGCACAATCCACATCACACAACTTTGTAATCGTCTGCGAGCCACATATAAAAACCTGGAGTGGATGCTTGGATGGGATAGCAAGCTGTCAAACACCTGTAAAGCAGTCATTTATAAACAGCTCATAGTACCAATATGGCAATATGCCTTACCTATTTATGGAGCTTTGGCATCAAATGCGCAGCTAAAACGCCTTGAGGTACTACAGAACATCACTTTACGTAGGATCATGAGAGCCCCCTGGTTTACCAGAAACCAAGCAATCAGAGACACCTATAATATAAAGACAATTGAGGAAACATTTCAGCTTGCTAGTGGCAGGTTTGCCGCCTCACTCAGTATCCATCCGAATGTGGAAGCACGCAAATTAATTCTCCATCCACACGTGCCGCAACGTCTGCAACGGCCGAGATACAAGCAGCAATTAAACCAGCATGTTCTACCACTCCAAAAACGGCTACAGCAGAAACCGCAACAACAACAGCAGACACAGCACGACGGCTTGCCAACGTTGCTGAGGTTGGAGAAAGAGAAGCAGGATGCCTTGCGACTTGCAGACACTTCGCTCACCCGGCAACACCAGCAGTCAAAACCACCAAAGCGGTTCGGTGAATCATTGATAAACTCATTGAGGCGTAGCTACAGGGATGGAGAGATGACGCTAGAGCAGGTCCAGGACATGATCAAAGACCAGCCTTTAGTAATTCAACGTCTAATTCTACCAGCGCCACCTCCGACTGAGCAACAGAACGAGCCACAACAACAATTGCTCATTGACGATGAAGAGCAGCTTGCCACACGACTAAAGCTCCTCCAGCTGCACATGGAACGCGAACTCGACGAGGCGCCTAATGAAGATACAACAGCGCAACATCACCAATTGTCGGGGTCGACTGAATCACATGCGGATTCAATCCAGCACGAACTCTTCAGGCCACAGCAGATAAGGCAGCAATATACACTAGCAGGCGAGCAAACGCAGCACGAAGTTTGTCAGCAGAAGCGAGCCTTTGAGCTGACCATAGCCATGTTCGGCATGCCTCCAATCTGGCCCCATCAGCCATGGCAACAGCAACAACATAGCCTGCCAATTACTTTTCCTCTGCCAGGACACAAACGACAATGGCAGAAGGGGAACACTGAGCAACAGCATCAGAGCCGGGCTGATAGCCCACCCACAAAAACACAACGAGTTAATTCTGTAAATGAAGGCCAAATATACGGATTATTGACTGAGCCAAGTACAGAATGCACAAAGTCACCTGCAAATCCAATTCGATCGGCCCTGCCACGACATCAACAACAAAGGCAGCACGTAATTATCGAGCGAACAGCTGAGCAGCAGCAGCAGACCCGGGCGGATGGCCCATCATCAGCGTCACAGCGAGTTATTTCTGCAAATGAACACCAAACATATGCACTATTTACCGAGTCAAATACAGAATGCATACATCTACCTGCACAACCATTTCGATCTCTTCCGCCATGGCATCAACGACAAAGGCAGCAAGAGATCATAGAACAGCAACAACTAGTTTCAGCAGAACAGCTCCTCCAGCCATGGCAACAGCAACCACAAAGCCAGCCAGCAAGTTTCTCCCAGTCGGGACAACAGCGACAAGAGCAGCCGGGGAACACTGAGCAGCAGCAGCAGAGCCGGGCTGAAGCTACATCAACAACAACGCGGCCAGCTAATTCTGAAAATGGAAAACAAACTTATGTATTGACTGAGCCAAGTACAGAATGCACAAAGTCACCTGCAAATCCAATTCGATCGGCCCTGCCACGACATCAACAACAATGGCAGCACGTAATTATCGAGCGAACAGCTGAGCAGCAGCAGCAGACCCGGGCGGATGGCCCATCATCAGCGTCACAGCGAGTTATTTCTGCAAATGAACACCAAACATATGCACTATTTACCGAGTCAAATACAGAATGCATACATCTACCTGCACAACCATTTCGATCTCTTCCGCCATGGCATCAACGACAAAGGCAGCAAGAGATCATAGAACAGCAACAACTAGTTTCAGCAGAACAGCTCCTCCAGCCATGGCAACAGCAACCACAAAGCCAGCCAGCAAGTTTCTCCCAGTCGGGACAACAGCGACAAGAGCAGCCGGGGAACACTGAGCAGCAGCAGCAGAGCCGGGCTGAAGCTACATCAACAACAACGCGGCCAGCTAATTCTGAAAATGGAAAACAAACTTATGTATTGACTGAGCCAAGTACAGAATGCACAAAGTCACCTGCAAATCCAATTCGATCGGCCCTGCCACGACATCAACAACAATGGCAGCACTTAATTATCGAGCGATCAGCTGAGCAGCAGCAGCAGATCCGGGCGGATGGCCCATCATCAACGTCACAGCGAGTTATTTCTGCAAATGAATATAAAAAATATGCATTATTTACCGAACCAAGCATAGAATGCATACACTTACCTGTACAATCAATTCAATCTCTTCCGCCATGGCATCTACGACAAAGGCAGCAAGATACCATAGAACAGCAACAACTAGCTTCAGCAGAGCAGCTCCTCCAGCCATGGCAACACCAACAACTAAGCCAACCAGTAAGTTTCTCTCAGTTGGGACAACAACGACAAGAGCAGCCGGGGAACACTGAGCAGCAGCAGCAGAGCCGGGCTGAAGCTACATCAACAACAACGCGGACAGCTAATTCTGAAAATGGAAAACAAATTGATGTATTGACTGAGCCAAGTATAGAATGCTCACAGTTAGCTACAAATCCAATTCGATCGCCCCTGCCACGACGTCAACAACGAAGGCAGCAAGTGATCATCGAGCGAACAACTGAGCAGCAGCAAATTCGGTCTGAAACCAACATGACACAGAAGTGGCCAGATCAGCACTGGGATACCGAGCGAGAAACTCTACAGCAATTGCCTGTTACTCAGCTTAAAAAATCTGGAAACAAATTCATAAAACAGGCTTCATTATCGGTGCCTAATAGTAAATGCACTCACTTACCTGAACAGACAATTCGATTTCCATTTCCACGGCAACGAGTTGGTCAACTTGGGATTTTAGACCAGCAGCAAATCCAGCCCTCAGCTAAACGACGGAGGCAACTTGGACCTGCAGAGCCGCCTTCGACTCACCTAGACCAATTGGCAAAAAAACGTAAGATGAGTGCAAACGAAAATCGACGACCAAGTTGCTCCTTCCTACCAGGACAACAAAGACAAGGGCAGCCGGAGAATATTAAACAGCAGCAGAGCCGGGCGGAAGCCTCATCAACAACAGCGCAGCGAGCTAATTCTGAAAATGGAAAACAAACATATGTATTGACCAAGCCAAGTATAGAATGCACATATTTACCTGCGCTACCAATTCAATCGCCTTTGCCACGGCATCAACGGCAAAAGCTGCAAGAGCAGCTCCTCCAGCCATGGCAACAGCAACATCAAAGCCAGCCAATGAGTTTCCCTCAGCCAGGACAACAACGACAAGAGCACCCGGGGAACACTGAGCAGCAGCAGCAGATCCGGGCGGATGGCCCACCATCAACGTCACAGCGAGTTATTTCTGCAAACGAATATCAAACATATGCATTACTTACCGAGCCAAGTAGAGAGTGCATACACTTACCTGTTCAATCTCTTCCGCCATGGCACCAACGACAAAGGCAGCAAGATATCATTAAACAGCAGCAATTGGCAGAGGGGCTCCTCCATTTATGCCAACAGCAACAACAAAGCCAGCGAATGAGTTTCTCTCTGCCAAGACACAAACGACAAAGGCAGCTGAGGAACACTGAGCAACAGCAACAGAGCCAGGCAGAAGGCCCACCAGCAAAAATGCAGCTAGTTAATTCTGTAAAGGAAGATCAAATACACGAATTATTAAATGAGCCAAGTATAAAATGCACACTGTTACCTGCAAATCCAATTCGGTCGCCCCTGCCACGACGTCAAAAACAAAGGCAGCAAGTGATTACTAAGCGAACAACTGTACGAAGTTTTGCACAGTTGCGGAGTATGGAGCGGCAGCAGCAGAGCCAGGCAGAAGCCTCATCAACAACGAAACAGCGAATCATCCCTGCAAGGAAAGATCAAATACACAAATTAATGAAAGAGCCAAGTGTGGAATGCATACATTTACCTGCACAACCAATTAAATCTCTTCCGCCACGCTATCAACGACAAAGGCAGCAAGAGATCATTGAACAGCAGCAACTAGTTTCAGCAGAGCAGCTCCGCAAACCACGACAAAAACAACAACAAAGTCTGCCAATGAGTTTCCCTCAGCCAGGGCAACAACGACAAGGGCAGCCGGGGATCATTCAGCAGCAGCCATCAATATCTGCAAATGGAGATAATACACATCTACCACTGACTGAGACAAGTGTGAAGTTCACATACTCACCTGCACAACCAACCCGATCACCTCCGCCACGGCATCACCGGCATAGGCAGCAAGGGTTCAGTGAGCACACTAAGCTACAACAACAAACTCCGACAGGCACCAAGCGCAAGCGATCCCCTCAGTTAGCACAGCAGCAACAACACAGGCATCTTCCAACCACAGACCAGGAACAGCTCCAAATTGGGCCGCATTCCTTGCAAAGTCCACTACGGCACGCGACATGTGGCCAACGGCAACGGACGCCGCAGCAGTATCCAGTTAGCGAGTGGCGACCCGGACATAACTGGAGGCAACTCGCACATCGAAAGGCACGCCCGCTTGCGAATTCACCAGAGTCCCCTGGAAAGATAAGAATAATTAATTAATTAGTAACTGGTGTTAAAAAAAAAAAAAAAAAAAAAAAAAAAAAAAAAAAAAAACAATGTATCATGTGTAACTTATTTGTAAGAAAATATTGCCAGACTGCAATACACTGCAGTCGATCACTTCCGATGCATGCGATGAATTCTCGTTCATCGCATGCGGAGTTGCCACTTTGTTTTAAGTATCGATATGTACGCTAATTATATTTGAATAAGTTGCTCGATAGTAACGCACAAATAAAATAGGTAAGCTGCCGATTGTCTCATTCGACAGCAAGCCCTCATCGTGTACAATAGTGCACAGCAACCTGAAAAAAAAAACAGCAAGCCCTCATCGTGTACAATAGTGCACAGCAACCTGAAAAAAAACCAAAGCGGTTCGGTGAATCATTGATAAACTCATTGAGGCGTAGCTACAGGGATGGAGAGATGACGCTAGAGCAGGTCCAGGACATGATCAAAGACCAGCCTTTAGTAATTCAACGTCTAATTCTACCAGCGCCACCTCCGACTGAGCAACAGAACGAGCCACAACAACAATTGCTCATTGACGATGAAGAGCAGCTTGCCACACGACTAAAGCTCCTCCAGCTGCACATGGAACGCGAACTCGACGAGGCGCCTAATGAAGATACAACAGCGCAACATCACCAATTGTCGGGGTCGACTGAATCACATGCGGATTCAATCCAGCACGAACTCTTCAGGCCACAGCAGATAAGGCAGCAATATACACTAGCAGGCGAGCAAACGCAGCACGAAGTTTGTCAGCAGAAGCGAGCCTTTGAGCTGACCATAGCCATGTTCGGCATGCCTCCAATCTGGCCCCATCAGCCATGGCAACAGCAACAACATAGCCTGCCAATTACTTTTCCTCTGCCAGGACACAAACGACAATGGCAGAAGGGGAACACTGAGCAACAGCATCAGAGCCGGGCTGATAGCCCACCCACAAAAACACAACGAGTTAATTCTGTAAATGAAGGCCAAATATACGGATTATTGACTGAGCCAAGTACAGAATGCACAAAGTCACCTGCAAATCCAATTCGATCGGCCCTGCCACGACATCAACAACAAAGGCAGCACGTAATTATCGAGCGAACAGCTGAGCAGCAGCAGCAGACCCGGGCGGATGGCCCATCATCAGCGTCACAGCGAGTTATTTCTGCAAATGAACACCAAACATATGCACTATTTACCGAGTCAAATACAGAATGCATACATCTACCTGCACAACCATTTCGATCTCTTCCGCCATGGCATCAACGACAAAGGCAGCAAGAGATCATAGAACAGCAACAACTAGTTTCAGCAGAACAGCTCCTCCAGCCATGGCAACAGCAACCACAAAGCCAGCCAGCAAGTTTCTCCCAGTCGGGACAACAGCGACAAGAGCAGCCGGGGAACACTGAGCAGCAGCAGCAGAGCCGGGCTGAAGCTACATCAACAACAACGCGGCCAGCTAATTCTGAAAATGGAAAACAAACTTATGTATTGACTGAGCCAAGTACAGAATGCACAAAGTCACCTGCAAATCCAATTCGATCGGCCCTGCCACGACATCAACAACAATGGCAGCACGTAATTATCGAGCGAACAGCTGAGCAGCAGCAGCAGACCCGGGCGGATGGCCCATCATCAGCGTCACAGCGAGTTATTTCTGCAAATGAACACCAAACATATGCACTATTTACCGAGTCAAATACAGAATGCATACATCTACCTGCACAACCATTTCGATCTCTTCCGCCATGGCATCAACGACAAAGGCAGCAAGAGATCATAGAACAGCAACAACTAGTTTCAGCAGAACAGCTCCTCCAGCCATGGCAACAGCAACCACAAAGCCAGCCAGCAAGTTTCTCCCAGTCGGGACAACAGCGACAAGAGCAGCCGGGGAACACTGAGCAGCAGCAGCAGAGCCGGGCTGAAGCTACATCAACAACAACGCGGCCAGCTAATTCTGAAAATGGAAAACAAACTTATGTATTGACTGAGCCAAGTACAGAATGCACAAAGTCACCTGCAAATCCAATTCGATCGGCCCTGCCACGACATCAACAACAATGGCAGCACTTAATTATCGAGCGATCAGCTGAGCAGCAGCAGCAGATCCGGGCGGATGGCCCATCATCAACGTCACAGCGAGTTATTTCTGCAAATGAATATAAAAAATATGCATTATTTACCGAACCAAGCATAGAATGCATACACTTACCTGTACAATCAATTCAATCTCTTCCGCCATGGCATCTACGACAAAGGCAGCAAGATACCATAGAACAGCAACAACTAGCTTCAGCAGAGCAGCTCCTCCAGCCATGGCAACACCAACAACTAAGCCAACCAGTAAGTTTCTCTCAGTTGGGACAACAACGACAAGAGCAGCCGGGGAACACTGAGCAGCAGCAGCAGAGCCGGGCTGAAGCTACATCAACAACAACGCGGACAGCTAATTCTGAAAATGGAAAACAAATTGATGTATTGACTGAGCCAAGTATAGAATGCTCACAGTTAGCTACAAATCCAATTCGATCGCCCCTGCCACGACGTCAACAACGAAGGCAGCAAGTGATCATCGAGCGAACAACTGAGCAGCAGCAAATTCGGTCTGAAACCAACATGACACAGAAGTGGCCAGATCAGCACTGGGATACCGAGCGAGAAACTCTACAGCAATTGCCTGTTACTCAGCTTAAAAAATCTGGAAACAAATTCATAAAACAGGCTTCATTATCGGTGCCTAATAGTAAATGCACTCACTTACCTGAACAGACAATTCGATTTCCATTTCCACGGCAACGAGTTGGTCAACTTGGGATTTTAGACCAGCAGCAAATCCAGCCCTCAGCTAAACGACGGAGGCAACTTGGACCTGCAGAGCCGCCTTCGACTCACCTAGACCAATTGGCAAAAAAACGTAAGATGAGTGCAAACGAAAATCGACGACCAAGTTGCTCCTTCCTACCAGGACAACAAAGACAAGGGCAGCCGGAGAATATTAAACAGCAGCAGAGCCGGGCGGAAGCCTCATCAACAACAGCGCAGCGAGCTAATTCTGAAAATGGAAAACAAACATATGTATTGACCAAGCCAAGTATAGAATGCACATATTTACCTGCGCTACCAATTCAATCGCCTTTGCCACGGCATCAACGGCAAAAGCTGCAAGAGCAGCTCCTCCAGCCATGGCAACAGCAACATCAAAGCCAGCCAATGAGTTTCCCTCAGCCAGGACAACAACGACAAGAGCACCCGGGGAACACTGAGCAGCAGCAGCAGATCCGGGCGGATGGCCCACCATCAACGTCACAGCGAGTTATTTCTGCAAACGAATATCAAACATATGCATTACTTACCGAGCCAAGTAGAGAGTGCATACACTTACCTGTTCAATCTCTTCCGCCATGGCACCAACGACAAAGGCAGCAAGATATCATTAAACAGCAGCAATTGGCAGAGGGGCTCCTCCATTTATGCCAACAGCAACAACAAAGCCAGCGAATGAGTTTCTCTCTGCCAAGACACAAACGACAAAGGCAGCTGAGGAACACTGAGCAACAGCAACAGAGCCAGGCAGAAGGCCCACCAGCAAAAATGCAGCTAGTTAATTCTGTAAAGGAAGATCAAATACACGAATTATTAAATGAGCCAAGTATAAAATGCACACTGTTACCTGCAAATCCAATTCGGTCGCCCCTGCCACGACGTCAAAAACAAAGGCAGCAAGTGATTACTAAGCGAACAACTGTACGAAGTTTTGCACAGTTGCGGAGTATGGAGCGGCAGCAGCAGAGCCAGGCAGAAGCCTCATCAACAACGAAACAGCGAATCATCCCTGCAAGGAAAGATCAAATACACAAATTAATGAAAGAGCCAAGTGTGGAATGCATACATTTACCTGCACAACCAATTAAATCTCTTCCGCCACGCTATCAACGACAAAGGCAGCAAGAGATCATTGAACAGCAGCAACTAGTTTCAGCAGAGCAGCTCCGCAAACCACGACAAAAACAACAACAAAGTCTGCCAATGAGTTTCCCTCAGCCAGGGCAACAACGACAAGGGCAGCCGGGGATCATTCAGCAGCAGCCATCAATATCTGCAAATGGAGATAATACACATCTACCACTGACTGAGACAAGTGTGAAGTTCACATACTCACCTGCACAACCAACCCGATCACCTCCGCCACGGCATCACCGGCATAGGCAGCAAGGGTTCAGTGAGCACACTAAGCTACAACAACAAACTCCGACAGGCACCAAGCGCAAGCGATCCCCTCAGTTAGCACAGCAGCAACAACACAGGCATCTTCCAACCACAGACCAGGAACAGCTCCAAATTGGGCCGCATTCCTTGCAAAGTCCACTACGGCACGCGACATGTGGCCAACGGCAACGGACGCCGCAGCAGTATCCAGTTAGCGAGTGGCGACCCGGACATAACTGGAGGCAACTCGCACATCGAAAGGCACGCCCGCTTGCGAATTCACCAGAGTCCCCTGGAAAGATAAGAATAATTAATTAATTAGTAACTGGTGTTAAAAAAAAAAAAAAAAAAAAAAAAAAAAAAAAAAAAACAATGTATCATGTGTAACTTATTTGTAAGAAAATATTGCCAGACTGCAATACACTGCAGTCGATCACTTCCGATGCATGCGATGAATTCTCGTTCATCGCATGCGGAGTTGCCACTTTGTTTTAAGTATCGATATGTACGCTAATTATATTTGAATAAGTTGCTCGATAGTAACGCACAAATAAAATAGGTAAGCTGCCGATTGTCTCATTCGACAGCAAGCCCTCATCGTGTACAATAGTGCACAGCAACCTGAAAAAAAAAATCAGCATCCACACCAACACCAGCAACGGCAACCGCTACATCATCAGAAGCAGCAACAACATCAGCAGCAGAAGAAGAGAAAGCCGAAGCCGAAACATAAGCGAGCGACTCCGCTCTCTGCAGCTCAGTCGCTGTCGGCGCTTGCGTCGGCAGAGGCTCCACTTGATCGTTTGAGTGGCGGCGGCAGCGGCAGCAGAGCAGCAACTGAGCTGAGTGAATTCAACAGCGACAGCAATGGACTGAGTGAGAGCGAACATGGCAACATGTTCGATACGAACTCAGAGCCAAATGTTTGGAGCGAGAACATGGGGCGTCAGCAACATGTTGCTAGAGCGCAAGTACACGGCAACATGTATACTGACAGCCCAGCCAATACTGACACAGACTCGCACTGTGTTTTATCAAGCCAGGAAGCTGGAAATGAGTTAAACAATGCCGATTCCAACTTATCGGCTAGCCAATGCGTCCGCAATGAGGACATTATTGCAAATAATTATGCTGCAAATATGCCAACAAATTTAATGGAAATTTCTGGATTTGAAAATGAGGCGAGCGGACAGCCACCAATTGATATAATGGATATTATTTTGGGGTTCGAAATGCCTGAGCCATCAAATGACAATACGGCTGCCAAGCGGCCACAAAAACGAAAAATAGCGACTAAGCAAACACTTAATAAGCGCCCAGCTAAAAGTGGTGGCTCGAATGCTGGCAATATTAAGAATGCTACCTTCACAGCCACAGTCAACAACAACAACAACAACAACAACAGGGTCAGCGATAGTGAGAATGATGACATGGAAGTTGAAGAAACGGCCTCCAACTGTATGTCGAATACAGACTCCGGCCAGCCAATCCAGCAGACAACAGCTCATAGGGTCAGAGTGCCCACAATTTATCTGCCCAATGTGGATGATATTCAACAGTTAACTGCAAATATCACGAACAATTTGGGTGCCAATAAATTCGCCACCAAATGCACTCAGGCAGGTGGTGTGCGAGTACAATGTGCCGATATTGAGGCATACAATGCAGCAATCAAGCTGCTTGATGCATCAAATATATACCGGCATACCCATCAACTGCGCAATGAGCGCGGAGCACGGTATATTATACGCCACCTGCACTATTCAACGCCATGCGATTGGATTCGCATGGAGCTGAGAAGATTGGGACATGTGGTGAGATATGTGGACGTTTTAAAACAACGCTACACGGCCAAGCCAATAAATATTTTTGAAATAGAAATTGAGCCGAAAGCGGACACTAATAATAACATACTGGAAATAAAGCATCTTGGCAGCCAGGAAGTTAAAGTGGAGAGGCAGCGGAAGCGCACTGATCCTGTTCAGTGCCACCGTTGCCAGGCATATGGTCACAGCAAGAACTATTGCCGTCGACCGTTCATATGCCTCAAATGCGGGCTAGGACACCCCACAACAATGT